CTATCTATCTATCTATCTATCTATCTATCTATCTATCTATCTATCTACCTATCTATCTCTGAAGAATTCAAATGATATGTTATCTTTTGCAACATAGTATAGTTGTTTGTGACTTATCAGTATAATGGATTATTGAAACTATGCATGTTTTTTTTAACATAAAGGACAGAGAATTGTGCATCAGTTATTGTATTTAACACAATTTTCAAACATTTACTTGAGAGAAGCTATATGGCTGCTGGCCAGCCTATAGAGAATTGTTCTACATTTATTATTTAGCAGAATAATAAACATGATTAAAATTCTATGTAACATACAAAATCCAGACTAAGGTAGGTCCTAAGTTCTTAAATAATTTCCTGATCTTTCCCCCCAAAACTATTCAACTTATTTTAGATAGATAGTACTGCTGAGCAAGCAAATAATAATGATAGCAATAACATTACATTACTAAAATTGTTCATTTAATATATTCCTATCTACCTTCGAAGATAGCTGTTTTAAGTAGAAACTTTAGCACTGATGTACCTGTTCTGAAAATAGATTTGGATTATAACATTTTAAAGACAGTATCAAACATACCTAAAGAAAGTTTAACAACCTCCCGAAATGTTATGTTTGATAATATTCTAAAAGGGAGAGCTGGACATAATTCTAATCATAGAGTTTTGTTTGAGAACAGGACTGAATGCAAAATATTAAGGTAATAATTGTCTTTAATCAGGTAATAGATTATTATAAGAACATTTGATCTAGGAGTACAAATTATCCATTATTGTAGATTTAAATAAATACGGTGTAAAAACAAGAAAGGGGAAGGCTTTATTATGATTTCTGAGGAGAAAATTTGATGGAATATGACTTCTTGGAATGCTCTATCTGGACCATAGGATTGCATCATTATGGGTTTTAAAGATAAGGATGACTATTGGGCACTAAGCCTAGAATGAAATGGGTTACAATGCATTTTTATATTTTAATCATCTTGACGTATGTAAATAAAGACTCAATCATCCAGGCCAAAAGTATCTAAAAAGGTTAAATCATGTTATTTCTGGATAAACATTTAAACTGAACAGCGGGGACAGAGAATTAATGGATACAGAACATTTCTGTCCCCAGCAATCTAAAATTAATAAGGATACCAGTGCGTGTAACATAGATGTTTGCGCAAATAAGATTATCAACCTTGCTGTCAAATAAAACCAAGCATTTAATAGTGAGTGCCATACCATATGAATGAATCAAACAGCTGGCTAGAAAGTAGGGGCAGTCAGCAGGGGTGGGATTCTACCAGTTCGCACCTATTAGCTAGAACTGGTTGTTAACATTCTAAGCAGTTTGGAGAACCAGTTGTTAGAAGAAATTACTGGCCTAATCCTGTAAGGAAGGCAGGAAGAAACATTCTGGTGTTGCTTATAGAAACTGCCTCTCCGTTAACCGTTATTACATTCTTAGCAGGACTAGACTTCCTATCTCTGGAACTTCTCTGGAGTTTTTTACCCCTCCTTTGCTGGTACTTTGCTTGTGTGAAGTGACCATTCAAAGCTACAATGGCACTGAAAAAAGTGACTTATGACCATATTTCACACTTACAACTGTTGCAGCATCCCCACAGTCACGAGAGGCCAGGCAAGAAAATGCATGCCTCGATGTGAGTGATATTGAGTTGGCCACGCCCAGCCAATAACATGACCACCAAGACACGCCCACCAACCAAGCCACGCCCACAGAACTGGTAGTTAAAAAAATTTGAATCCCACCCCTGGCAATCAGACACAACACAGGTTATATAGACAGTAAACACACAGTGTCAGACATAAAGATCTCAAGTGCCAATATACAAATGCACAAAGTCTGGGGAACAAACAGGGTGAACTCAAACTACGAATACATGAAAGTAGATATGATATAGTTGGAATAACAGAAACTTGGTGGGATGAAACCCATGATTGGTATCCTTCTACATACTGGTAGAAGGATACAAACTGTTAAAAAAAAAGACCCCATAAAAGAGGAAGTGGAGTTGCAGTGTATGTAAAGGATCACTATATTGCTACAGAAATGCATGAAACCAAAGATGAAAACCTCCTAGAATGCATATGGGTCAATATAAAAGAAAAAAAGAATGACATGGCCGTTGGTCATAGGCCACCCAATCAAGCAGAAAAAATAGATGTCCTTTTTTGCCAGCCAACTAATAAACATATGCAGGAAACACACAACAATAGTAATGGATTATCCTGATATCAATTGAAAAACTAATTCTGCACCAGGTGAAAAATCAAATAAGTCCCTAACTAACCTAGCTGACAACTTTATTGTCCAAAAGGTAGAGGATGAAACTAGGGGGACAGCCATACTGGACTTAATTCTTCAAACAGAGAAGAAGTGATGGAGTTGAAACTGCAGGAACCTTGGGTGAGAGTGACCATGTCGTACTAGAATTCAACATAACACAAACACAAGCAATAGAAAATAATGACACCAGAGTCTTAGATTTTAAAAGAGCTGATTTTAATAAACTCAGAGAGAACTTGGGAAAGATTCCATGGATAAAAATCCTAAAGGGGAAAACAACTCAAGAATCTTGGGAAACTCTGAAAAGTACGATCATAGAAACCCAGACCAGCACAATACCACTGAGAAAGAAAAACAAGAAATCCAATAAGAAACCAGCATGGCTGTACAAAGATCTCTCTGGCAAATTGAAAGAAAAAAGGACAAATACAAAAAATGGAAAGAAGGACGTACAACTAAGGCAGAATATCAGCAGATAGCCAGAATCTGCAAAGACGAAGTCAGGATAGCAAAGGCTCAGAACGAACAAAGACTTACAACAAAAGTCAAAAATAATAAAAAAGTTTCTTCCAACATATAAATAACAAGAAAAAAATCAAGGAAATAGTCGGTCCACTAACGAGAGAAGACAGCAAGGTAGTAACAGGCAACAGTGAGAAAGCAGAACGGCTTAACTCATTCTTTGGATCAGTCTTCATACAAAAAGAAACTGTAGCTCAACCCACCAAAAACATAACTACAAGACAGACCAGAAATAAAAGTTAGAATAAGCAAATAATAGTAAGAGAACACCTGTCTGATCTTGATGAACACAAATCACCAGGGCCTGATGGATTACATCCCAGAGTTTTAAAGGAGCTGGCAGAGGTCATCTCAGAACCACTGCATCATATCTTTCAAAAATCCTGGAGCACCGGGGAACTACCAGAAGACTGGAAAAGAGCTGACGTGGTTCCCATCTTCAAAAACAAAAAAAAAAAAAAAACAGACCCAGGAAACTAGACCAATCAGCCTAATATCAATACCTGGGAATATACTGGAAAAGATAATTAAAAAACAGATCTGCCAACGTCTAGAAACAAGTAAAGTAATAACTAGCAGTCAGCACAGGTTTGTTAAAAACAGATCTTGTCAAACCAATCTTATTTCATTCTTCAAGAATAATGACTTAATTAGTAGACCAGTGAAATCCTGTGAACATAATATACTTAGACTTCAGCAAGGGATTCGACAAAGTAGACCACAACCTACTTCTTGGTAAGCTAGAAGAAAAGGGGAATAGATAGCACCACCACTAGATGGACTTGCAACTGGCTGACAAACCATTCCCAACTAGTTGTCCTTAATGGGTCTAAGTCTACATGGAGGGAAGTAAGCAGTGGAGTGCCACAAGGTTCTGTCTTAGGCCCAGTACTCTTCAATATCTTCATTAACGACTTAGATGAGGGAATAGAATTTGTAGATGACACTAAGCTGGCAGGAATAGTTAACACCCAAGAAGATAGGCTCAAGATCCAGATGGATCACTGGGCCGTATCTAACAAAATGAAATTCAATGTAGAGAAAAGTAAAGTCCTACACTTAGGCAAAAGTACACATACAGACTGGGTGAAACCAGGCTCAATAACAGTAACTGTGAGGGGGATCTTGGAGTCTTAGTGGACAACCAGCTAAATATGAGCCAGCAGTGTGTAGCAGCTGCCAAAAAAGCTAATGCAATTCTAAATTGCATTAACAGAGGGATACAATCAAGATCAAATGAGGTACTAATGCTACTGTATAAAGGCTTAGTACACCTAGAGTACTGCTTCCGATTTTGGTCACCATTATAAAAAAGATGTTGAGACTCTAGAAAAAATACAGAGAAGAGCAACCAGGATGATTAAGTGACTGGAGACTAAAACATATGAAGAACGGTTACAGGAACTGGGCATGGCTAGTTTAGTGCAGGGGTCGCCAATGTTTTGGACCTTAGGGACCACCAAAGTCATAATTTTAAATCCTGCGGACCAGAGACTCTGGGAAAATCCCCCAAAAAATCTGCAGGAAAATTCCCCTCTCCGTTTTCCTACCAATCAATCATTCTTTATTTGGGATTGCAGGATACCGTCTCCAGCTCCGTTCTCAGGGGAAGAAAGAGAGAGAATTTTTGCTTCATGCAAGGAAAGCAGCAGAAGTCTTTCTTTTATTCCCCCAAACTCCACCAGAAATGAGTCTTTGTGAGACTTGTCGTGCTGGCGCAGCCTCTTGGAGGAGGATGCCTTGCAGGGTCCCAAAAACTGATTTCTGGCGGAGTTTGGGGGAGAGAAAGAAAGACTTTTGCTGCTTTCCTTGCATGCAGCCAAAAGCAGAAGAAAGACGCAGAAAGAAGCAGCCTTGTGGCCAGGTGACGCATGTTTGGCGAGTGGGACAAGTTCCACCCCTCCTCCCTTTTCCCTCTCCCCTCACTACTTCATGTTGTTTGCAATGCAAGCCTTGTGTTTCCACAGGCCATGTGGGCGGCGCAGCCTTGTGTTCCCGTGCAGCCTGGATTAATTGCTTTGGGGTATGCTTTGGGGTGACATTTTTCTGCAGATCACCAAAATTTTCTCGCAGACCACCAGTGGTACCCAGTCCACTGGTTGGCAACCACTGGTCTATTGAAGAGAAGGGCCAGGGGAGACATGATTGCAGTGTTCCTATATTTGATGGGCTGCCACAGAGATGAAGGGGTCAAGCTATTTTCTAAAACACCTGGAGGCCAGACAAAGAATAATGGATGGAAACTGAACAAGGAGAGATTTAATCTGGAAATAAGGAGAAACTTTCTGACAGTGAGAACTGTCAACCAATGGAACAGGTTGTCTCAGAAGTTGTGGGAGCGCCATCACTTGAGATTTTGAAAAAGAGATTGGACTGCCATTTGTCAGAAATGGTGTAGGGTCTCTTGCTTGGGCAGGGGGTTGAACTAGATGACCTATAAGGTCCCTTCTAACTCTGATTATCTGTTATCTGTTTATGTTAAGAAAGTTTGATCTAGTTGCCATAATTTAACCTTTTTAGATATCTTGATTTGGGTAATACATTTTGTCCCTTTCTCATTCTCCTTTCTTGTGTTTTACATCCTTTAGTGGAAGTCTTGAAAGCAGGTTCTAGCAAAACCTAGTGCAATTTTTATAATTTCCTCCAGCAGCATTTTATTAGTTGAAAAATAGATAAAAGCAAACTAAGAACTAGTAATATAATAATAAACTAAGTGGTTTCCCTAAGCCATGAAAAAAACAATTAATGTCCTATAGTCCATTTATATTCTATCCTATAATCCTAATAGATAAATGAATGAAGAGGCAGCCAGAAGCAACTTCAATAATTTTCATTTACATTTTATAAGATAACTCTTTATGTTTTAATTTTACTATAGGAGACAGATGTAATTGAGGAGGTAGAAATGATGGTGGAGAGCCTCCTGGATGTACTATTACAAACTCTTCTAACTATTATGAGTAAATCACAATCTCAGGAGGCGGTAAGAGGGCAGCGTTGTCCACAATGCACAGCTGAAATCACTGTTAGTAACTAACCATCAAGTTCTATTTCTTGCTTATCTAGCCTGCTCCCTTTCCCTATCCTCTCATCTCTAGTTTACTACATTTTTCATTCATTCGTTCGTTCATTCATTTTTTTATGTTACAAAACTAAAACTAACTGTCCTGACCTGTCAGAGTGAAGCTAAGAAATTCAGCCATGCTGGTGTTAGTTTATTTAGCCTATTAGGTTATATTTTTAATTATTTCTAAGGCATTTCCTATAATAATTGAAAATAATTAGTGAATACTTAAGTGACTGGAATCTTATACCATATAATTAGGAGTTGGATAGTGCATTGTGTGAACCCATCATGTTCTTTCAATCAGACTTAGACATAACATGATTTTTTTTTGTGAATCATTAGCATATTATAAGAACACTGCTATGTTTTGTTAATCTAAAATAGCATTTAGTATATAATATGAATTCAACCAAAGTTATCTGCAGAATGATAACTGTCTTACTTACTTAGCTTTGGAAAGACAATTCATTCTGGATTTCCTACCTCCCTCTCTCTCCAGCCACCTGAGCACCCTCCATTCTGGCCTTAACTAAAATGAGAATTTCTTTATAAGGTAGAAAACAATGCTGTATTGCATGCTATGATGAATAGAAAAAAACTCAAAACCCTATTTATAGGAATGAATGGGTGTGTGTGTGTGTGTGTGTGTGTGTGTGCGCAAAGAGGAAAAGCAAAATCTCGTCCTTTAATCATCTAATTATTCTGCTTTTCATTTTTCATTTGATTTAATTCAATTTGGTGACTATTTGTCAGCCTCCATGGGTGAACTAGACAGTTTACTATTTGACCTAAATCTACTTTATTGTAAGACTGTATTAACAAAATCTTGCAAGTTTGAAAGTACAAACTTCCGATTTACATTTTTAATCCATTAGGGCAGGTCCTTTCTAAATTTCTTTCTCTGACCGAGAAAGGGAATTCTTATCTCTTTTGTCTGTTTCCTTCTCTTACCCTCTTTCCCCAAGATATTCCTTCATACCATTACACATCTCTTTACATAAACATTTTCTACATAATAGGAATTTATTTTAAAAGTACAGATATGAGAAGAAGAGTGGAGATATTTTTATAGTGTTTTATTTCATAAATATCACACCATTTTCAGTCCCTATACCTTTTTCCTGTACCCTGAAGTTAATTTTTTTATTTAGATTTGTGAATATGATTATTTTGCTAAAATAATTATTCTTTGAAATTAACAGGGGGAATATGTATCCTGTCTTTTATCTCTACTTCGTCAGATGTCGGACACTCATTTTCAACATCTTCTGGAAAATTTCCAGAGCAAAGATGAGCTAAAGGTAAGATTATAAACACAGTCTAGTTATATTTCCCATTTGTGTTTTTGTGCTGATGGATGTAACTCAGGAATACTGAGAATGATCCTGGTTATATAGATGTTGGTTCTTCTTTTGTCACAGATTCAAATCCATTCCATATTATTTATTTTATCCTGTATTGGGAATTGAGCTATTGCACTCAATAGATATTTAAATTGCAGCTGACCCAGATGCATACTGAGGTTGCAAATCAATTAGCAGCTAAATGTTCCTATGTCATCTGACACAGCGGTCGCTCACCGGTGGGCCGTGAGAAAATGTTGGTGGGCTGTAGAGAAATCTCACTCCCAGAGCACTCCCCAAAGCAATTAATCCAGGCTGTGCAGAAACACAAGGCTGCCCTACCCACATGGCCCATGGGAACCCTCCCTGCCTACTCACTCCTTATCTAGCAAACTTGTCTGCTAAATTGCTATTTTTCCAATCATCAGCTGTTCTGCTGTGCCAGGAGATTTAGATTAGCTAGGAAGCAGGAAATGGTTGGATTTCTTGCTTTCTAGCTAGTCTTTAGATCTTTGTCTCTGCTTTTAAGAACAGCCGAACCTCCCTTAGGACTGAAGTTCTATTATTCAGTGCAGACTCATGGCAAGCAAATTTTATGTAACAGACTGAGTTAGCTGATGGCAGATAGATAGATCACTGAATGAATCTGATTCTTTGAGCAACTCAATCTGCCTGCCTGCTTTGCCTGATTTTGGGTAAACGTTGCTCTTTTTTTTAGAAAAAATCGAATATTTATATAAATATTTATAATATTTACATACAAACCATGCCCAGCCAGTCACATGACCACCAAGCCACACCCATAAATTAGGCCACACCCACATAATCAGTTAGTGGACCCTGGGATTTAAAATTATGAGTTAGGTAGTCCCTGAGGTCCAAAAGGTTGGCGAACCCTGATCTGACATGCATAATTTTTTTTAAATAATTGAATCATTTAATAGAGTTGAATCTAATTATACTTACTGTATTTAAGCTAAATCTATTTAATAAAATGTTCATGCTTACGCTGCTTTTGTTTCGAAAATATTTCAGAGATGCTTCATATTTTTGTTCGTTTGGTGTTTTTGTTCTGTTAATTGTAATTCCACTCTCGGTGAACTCCCCATAGAAAGATAAATCCAGAAACAGAAAATTTTTAACATGGGATTTGTTTTATCAGTGGTTAGATATTAGAGGTAGAAATTAGAAGATAGAAGACAATTATTATGTAAAAGTAAATGATGAAAGATTAGTACTGAATATAAGTAAACAATATATTATGATTACTATGATTACCATTACCATCATCGTTATTAATATCACTTTGTATAAGCAAATTGACTCACTGTTTATTAAGCACTTATGTTTATTAAAGAAGAAAATGTATAAATAAAAATTAAAAAAGAAAGGTAAATGCCCAAAGAATGATTTTAAGTATTTTAAAATAAAATATGTATTAAATATTTTAATACTTTAACATATTTATTAAATATGAAGCGATATACCAATATTTTTAAAAAAAACATCAGTTTAATGTTTCACTAAGTAACTTAAAGGAATTGTCCTTGAATGTTTTAGTCTTGACAGATTTCCCATATGAATAGTAATATAAAGGTGGATATAGAACCTTTTAAGAGGAAAAAGAATACACACGGGAAGATGGTAAAAAGTAGAGCTTATGCTATTTAGAATTTCCACCAATTGGCTCTTAAGTTATGTACATGTTTAAATACTAATTGGCAAGAAGCTGTGGTCAAAGTTTCATGTTACTCTCCTATACACTATTATAAGGATTCAGAAAATTGGAGTTTGATATTATTAATATGCCGATGACATTGAATTTTATGATACCAGTGAGTTTGAGGAGATCTGAATGTACTCCTAGTCAATAATAGACGGTTGTAAAGAAACAAATTATAACCTAATCCAGATACAGCACATATGCCCATTGTTATTAGGATGACTGATCATAAGTCAGCTTGGGTTTCATTTTTAAAAAACGTTATGGTTCCCTTTGAAAAAAATGGTTAGCAATTTGGAGATAGTGGATTCCAAGGGGCAGTTTATAGAATACTTTCTCTTGACTAGTGTGCAGCAGCTATGACCTGAAGACGATTCTGATAATCTCCAACATTCTTCTTTTATTTCTTATTTCTGCCTTTGAGTCAATTTTGGACAAGTTCCTAGAGCTTTCAGAAATAGTTTGCCTTCTTCTTTGGGCTATTGGAGATAAATGTGTAAGCGATTTTTTATCCCATTATGCAACTTACAGCTTTTCTTTCCGCTGTTTAAGAGGCATATTTGCTTCAAATCACATAGCTAGTAATGTTTTAACATTGTTTTCTTGGTTTTTACTAGGAATTTCTTCTAAAGATTTTCTGTGTGTTTCGAAATCTGATGAAGATGAGTGTCTTTCCTCGAGACTGGATGGTGATGAGATTACTCACCAGCAAGTGAGTGCTGATTCATTTTAAAACAGTTGAATTTTACTAAAATCATATACAATTTTTATACAAATTAAGATTTTTTAAAAATATTTCAGCTTACTAATTTTTAAAGGATATAGATCATTTTAGATATGCTCAATTTTTATTCTTCATTGAAACATACTGAGAACTGATTTTTTTTGATAACCTTATTAAAAAAATTAAAGAAATAAAAACTAATAATTGAAATAGAAGAAAGGAAGAAGTAAAGAATGAAAAGGAAAGCAAACCCAAAAGTTAAGGCTAAAGTAGATTTCAAAAATCATTTTATTAGATATGTTATGTTGACAGTATGGAATAGATATAAATTTATGTTGTGTCAAAAATACCTTTATGGCTGCCACTCGAAGAAGCACCTTAAAGAAGAGAAAGGATAACTAAACATATATAATTAATATATGGTAATATATTGGAATTCTCCTATAATGTCCAATACCATTCTGGCATCTTTTAATTATCTTTTAGGGGAAAAAAAATCCACATTGGTGTCCGTGAATAAATTTTTGTAGAATTATTTTCAATCTATCTGCTAAAATGGTTGTAAATGACTTATAATCACTGTTTAATAATATCAGTCTATAGGATGGCTGCATTGAGGATATAGCCATACTAAACCTTTGACTTGCAATTAGTAGGTTGGCTGGAACAGGAAAGTGGAATTATAATTTGGTTTCTCTTAAAAATCTCATGCCTATAGCTACCAGAATGGGAAGAATTGCCTGTCAAGACAGAGACTTAGAGTGTTGTAGATGCATTTTCCGTCTTGCTAACCAACACTCTCCATATCTCGGCTGTTTGAGACAATTACCTATGTGGCAATATTTTGTTATTACGACTATTACAGCCATCTTATAAAATGAAAATAAATACCTTGAACAACAGCAACAAAAGCCCAGAATATCAATCCATTATAATTCAATACTTAATAGTAACTACAAACAAACCAATAGATGTGGGAGAAGCTATTATTTAGAAATTTAGTGTGTGTTGTTAGGCTGTCTAAAACATGGAATAATTTTAATTGGATAGATTTTTCAATAATGTATTAGAATTGGAATCTATTTAAGGATTAGCTTACCATACGGCAAATTATTAAGAAATAAGAATGTCTGTGGGTGCCTTCATGTTCATGATCCAATGGATTGGTAACTTTTTAAATTATATATTAACCACTATTTTATCAATAAATATAAAAGAATGTGATTTTCACTAAATTTAAATATTCTGCATATTCTATAAACACTACCATAATGTTGTTCTTTTTGTTATTATAGTGTGATCGTTACAACAGTGCAGTATTTGTCTGCAGCACTACATAAAAATTTCACAGAAACAGATTTTGATTTTAAGGTATTTTTAAAAAACTTTATACTATTAAATTGTCAACACTGTATTTGTTTTGCTATTAAATGATAACTAATAAAGCATTTGCACCAAAGTCCTCCAAGGGTGTTCAGATCATTAAAATAGAAAAAAAATAAAAGAATGCAGATGGTTTTCATTTAAAGACCACTCATTCAGTGACTATTCAAATGTATGACAGCACTGAATGAGCATACATATAATTAGCCCTTATATTTACAGCCATCACGGTATCTCTTTGCTCACACTATCCACATTTGCCACCTTCTTTGCCAGCTTCCTACAAGCAAAATCAGTGGAAAAGCCAGCAGGAGATTGCAAATTGTGATCATGTAATGGTCTCATTTTAATTACCCACAAGTCACTTAACAATGGCTACCAGAAGTGCCAGAATTTGTGGTACTAAGTGGCACAAGCAGCTGATTATGTGTGTCTATTCAGAGAGACATTTCGGTGCAGTGGTTAAGGCACCAGGCTAAAAACCAAGAAGCTATGTTGTAGTCCTGCCTTGGGCACGAGGCCAACTGGCTGACTTTCTCTCAGCCCAAGAAAAGAGGCAATGGCAAGACCACTGCTGAAAAACCTTGCCAAGAAAATTATCTAGGCAGTCTCAGAGAATGGGACACAATTGAAAGGAAGCGGGGGAGGAATCAGAGGTAAATCCCGGTGAGTTTGGTGAACAAACTCCCAAGTAATGATATAAAGAATTACAAGGTTTTTTTAGTTAAGAAATTTTGTTTGTAAAAATTCAAAAATTCTTGACATTATAGTCTCTGTGGAGTGATACATGTGGGATTCCTCACCTGAGATAGCTAGTCTTTGCCTTGTGTGTGAATTTATAGAATTTTTATTATAATAATTGTATAATTTACTGAATTTAGAAATTCAGTTATAGAATTATATTATGAAGTAGATCTGCTATGCATTGTTTATTGATGTGTTTGAAAGAAGTGCCCATATCATATGTACATCACTTATATACAGAACGGATCATGAAACTACTATTATTATGTAATGATTGTATTTATTTGTTATAATCATTTGGCTTAGGTGTTTTTCTGAGAAGATATGCAGAATATAAATATATTATTATAATAAATACATTGTCATTACATCTGGTGCTTTTCAGAACAATCAGTTGACATTTATTCAAGATATACTTAAAAAAGTAAGTTGTATATGAGTTTTCAGTTAGTTGCTTCTTTTTTTTTCTATTTTCTAGGCCTGGAACTCTTATTTCAGCTTGTCAGTTTTATTTATCAACCAACCCAGCCTGCAGCTAGAAACATTTACTCCAGCTAAGCAGAAAAAGATTCTGGACAAGTAAGATTATATTAACTTAATTTTCATTCTCAGATGTTTGTTTTGAAAGTAAAGCAGTGGTTTTTTTTCCTCTGGCTCTGTTTTTATAAGATGTATCTAACAGTAATGCTGCCAAATCTTGTTTTATTTTAAAAATCCCAATATCTCATTTTTTTCCTTTTGGATCTGTGTTTAATTTCCAGATATGGTGATATGCGTGTGATGATGGCATATGAGCTTTTTAGCATGTGGCAGAATCTGGGTAAGTTAATCTTTGAGTTTAAGATTTATATTTAATCTAATAATAACACAGTGCTGGCAATCCTTCATCCACTGTTAAAGGAGCAGAGTACCATAGGAACTGGATTATAATGCACATTGGTACAACTTTACTAGAAATAATTTTATAAAACAGGAGACTCATTTGTCCTTTGGAACTGTACACTATCACTAGATTACCTGTACACATACACATTTCCAGGCATAACCTATTCTATTCCTTTTTGGATTAATTCTTTATGGTAAGCATCTAGCTTCATTCCTTATCTTCAGTTGTAGAATATTTTCAATTAGCAGGCAAGTTAAACAAAAAACAGCGGGAGATGGGATGCAGAGGAAATGGTGTTAAATATTTGCTTGGTTTTGTGTTGTTGTTGTTGTTCAGGGGAACATAAAATTCACTTTATTCCTGGAATGATCGGTCCTTTTCTGGGTGTCACACTTGTGCCACAGCTAGAGGTCCGCAACATTATGATTCCCATTTTTCATGACATGATGGACTGGGAACAGCGAAAAAATGGCAACTTCAAACAGGTAAAAAGTCTCTTCAGTTCTTATAATGTTTATTTCTTACTTAAATGTTCATTTACAGAGTAGAAATAATAAGCATTTTGCTCCCAAAGTATTAAGCATATTTCAATGACCTTGGGATACTGCAAACATTGTAGATAAATGCTGGTTGCCAAATACCGATATTTTGACCATGGGGATGCTATGATGGTAATAAGTGCGAGGGACTGGAAGTAAGTCACTTTTTTTCACCACCAATGTAACTTTGAATAAAAGATTGTAAGTCAAAAACTACGTGTAGAATATACAGCCAGTTTGCAAAACTTTTTTCCCATTTGAGTGAGACTTTCCAATCCCATTCTCTATTTTACTGTTCCCACTCACAAGCTGTTTTGAATTTTGGTTGAACTGTACAATAAATCCAGACTGTGAGTTGTACTCTTTCTCCTGTCAACGTCTAATCTTAAAAAGGAAAAAGATTCCCATCTCTTTAATTTTTATTTTGGTTAAAACTAAATAATGGATTTAAATTTAGAATGTATTCTGTCTCTGGAAAAAATGGAAGAGAAACCATTCTTCTTTATATCACACAAACATTTCTGCATTACCGAAAACAATTGCACTAAAGTTATTCATGGAGACTTTGATTTATGTAGGATAATTATAGGAGAGAACCTTCTTAGAATCATAGGACTGAAGAGATCCAATCCTATACACAGAGCAGGAATCCTCATACTATATAACACAACTCCAAGCCTTACTTGAAAACCTCATGATAGAGTACCCACAACTCCAAAAAGCTAAATAGCTATTACTACTGCTAAATAACTCTTAAGTGAAAAATACATTAATTTAGAGTTTGGATCTCCTCTGTGAAGCATCCATCCATTACTTCTTGTCCCACCTTCAGGAGCCATGGCTCTTAGCTTCCCTAGGATGACCCTTTAAGTATTTGAAGACCATTATATCAGTCTTTTCTTAAAGCTAAACACAACCTGTTCATTTAAGCCTTCTTCATTGGGTTTAGTTTCCAAGCCCCTTGTCATCTTTGTCACTCTGTGTGCTCTTTCTGGGTCCTCATCATCTTTGTATTAAGGAAATCAGCATTCTATATCCCAAGTAAAGTCTGGCAGATGCAGAATTATCACTTCTCATGATATTGACTCTATATTTCTGTTAATGTTGCCCAAGAGTGAATTAGCTGTTTTGGTAGCAGCATCACACTACTGGCTCAAATACTAGACTTACCTGATCCATCTCCTAAGTATTATTACTAAGCCATTGTTGCCTATCTTGTTTCTGATTTTCCTACCCATGTGTAGAATTCATATTTCTCAACATTTAACTGTGTTTTGTTGAATATGGCCCAATAATCAAAACTACCAAAATCCTTTGGAACATTGAGTCTGTTTTCTAATGTGTTAGCAATCCTCACCTTTACATCATCTGCAATTTTTTTGTAAGTTATCTAAGTAGTCAAAATCTTCCATAGGATACTTACCTCTCCATGTTGGCATAAAAGCATTCAAGGATCACATGCTGAGCTTGGTTCTTCAGTCAGCTACAAATCCTGCTAGTGGAATTATCCATCCCACATTATTCCATTTTATCAAGGAAAAGGGTATGATCAACATTATCAAATACCATTCTGGAAACTAAGTACACTAGCATTTCTGTGGTCTACTAAATTCATGAAACAATGCAGTAAGATTTGTTTGGTATGACCTAGTTTTGACAAAACCATGCTGGCTTCTAGTAATCATTTTGTTCCTCTCAGGTTGCCTACAAAGCCACTGTTTAATTATCTTTTCTAGAATTTCTCATTTGTTGATGTCAATTTAACCGACCTGTAGTTTCCTGAATCAATGTTTTCCTTCTTTTTAAGAAAATGGGAACAACATTTGCTCTTCTACAACCTTCTGGCATTTCTTCTAGAACAAACTTTGTTTTAATCCTTCAACAGTTTTCAAAGATTACAATCAGTGTTCTGAAATTACATATGCTAATTTCTGCAACACCCTGGGATATAATCCACCCAGTTCCGGACCGTTAAATTCATTCAAAATTACTTTTTAAAAAACCAATTCTTTAGTATGATCTTTCTCTTTTTATCCCTTAGTATGATCTTTCTTTTTTTGTCCCCACGTCCAATGCAGCTTTTGACAGTTTGGACCAGTCCTCTTTTCTTTTGCAAAGCTACAGATGCAAAATTGGAATTAAGGAGTTCAACTTTCTCCCTGTTGCTCTTCCTTAGTATAATAATGACTGTGACTTAGATATCAACTCGTTTTATAGGAGGTCTTAAAACTGCACATCTAGTGAAAACCAGAATTGTAGGCTCACAAATCTGCTTTTTCAGTCTCAGATTTTAAAGTAGGGATATGCACAAAGCAGAAATTTGTTTTGTTTTAATCCAGAATTAATCCAAATTATTATATTTCAAAGGTTTTTGCTGAATAATCCTGAATTGGCTTTGTTTTTGTAGAAACAACACCAAACACATTTTAGATGAAATAAAATTCAGAAGGATTTTGGAGAATGTTACACTGATCTTTTGGGATGAATGGCAAGGCTGCTTCATGACACCCTTCGTTTGACTCCCTTTCAGCAACTTCCCATGCAGCATATCATATTGGCCAACCCACTCTATAGTCTTTTTAGCTTCTTTCCTACTGTGCATTCTCTCAGCTCCCACAAATATCTTAGGATATATTCCACCAGGCTGCCCATCCCATTCTTCTCTGCTTTCTCTGAATCACCACAGCATTATTCTTCACTGCCTTCCCTTAGCTGCACCAAACTCCCAGATCAACATATCCCATCAGACAGCCTATGCATAATCTTCCATGCACTTTTTCTCTCTCTCTGTAGCTTCCATTAATATACTGGCCTATGAACTTGTTCCTTAATTGCAAGGCTTCCTTGTTGTAATAAGGACAGCTTTGCAACATAGCATAGCCCACTAGCCCGCTTGTTCTCCAGTCTTTCTAGTAGTTTCCTTTCCTTTCCTTTCCTTTCCTTTCCTTTCCTTTCCTTTCCTTTCCTTTCCTTTCCTTTCCTTTCCTTTCCTTTCCTTTCCTTTCCT